ATGGTATAAAATAAAATAGTACCTATACATAATTCGGTGGAAAGTTTTCACATTATTGTTTCGATTCATAGTATCTCTCGACAATAATGAAACACTTTCCATTTCCGCATGTAATATACTATTATTTACAATCATACATGTAAATTTGACTTTCCTGACTTTTGAAAATGTCACTTTTTTGACTTTTACTTTTCACCCACGGGTTGAAAGTTTACTTTCCTCCTGCGCCTCGGTCTAACCGTTGTAAAATCTCTCGACAGTTATAAAACACTTTCAACCTCGATATGTAATATACTAATTCCTGAGGGGAACAATGAAAAGTTTAATACGTTACACGCTACAAAAGCCCTTTTCATTCTCCCCCCTACAAAAGTAGATTTTTTTATCTTGCATAGGCGAGCGAAAGCGAAAGTGAAACATGCTGGTAGTTACTTTCACTTTCGCTACTAGCATGTTTCACTTTCGCATACCTATTCGCGATTTTTGAGGGGAAAGGATGAAAAGTTTAATACATTACATGCTGCAAAAGTCCTGTTAGGTGCTCGTCAAATAGCCGAGGCTGCGCTTCGCTTCGCCTCGGCTATTTGAATATACCCCGCATCTGAAAGTACGCTTTCGCAGCTTGGAATGTAAATAACTATAGATCCATTCAATTTCAATAATTTCAATAATAAATAATAATCAATAATCAATCGTGGATTTGTAGCTACTTTCAGACACACAATTATGTCTTCTTCTTAGTAGTTTTATGGTGCCGTAAAAAAATAAGATTTTTTTTGTTTTATCCCGAAAAGGAAGGCAAGAAGGGTTTTTTTCTGAAAATTTTCTTACTTAAAATATTTGTTTATTTATATTTTGGGCTAGGATAAAGATTCAGATGCGGTTTCCACCAGATTTTATTGAACAGAAAAAACTCTTCCAAATGAAACCCGATTCATTGAAATCGGTTGAAAAACAAAAAAGTTATATAACTTTTGTTCCTAACAAGTTTGAACCTTCCCCCACCTCTTATTTGAAGAGTTAGGGCAAAACATCCTTAAAAAAAAAAAATCGTAATTTTTGAAGATAATCACAGTATTATGTTTTCGAGTGTTCGTTGCGCCCCCTAGCGGTCAACTTACAAACTTGAAAACTATTTCCGGCAATTTTTCATGGTCTATTTTACAAAAAAAAAATTATTTGGAAGCTCTAGAGCTAATAGTTCCTGAGATATAGCCGGCGTCCTTTCTTATTTTACATAATGCTCCTTTTAATTTTCTAAATACGGAATCGCATTCTTGGGTCCAGTTGAATGTTGATTTTTCTTCCGTTAAACTGTTCGGTTTCTCAATGCAGTAGAAACGATAAAGCGGTCGTCTCTAGCTGTTTTAATCGATGAAGCGGAGTAGCTATATTGGCGAATCCTTCCACAAATCTTCGATAATAAGAACATAATCCTAGAGAGCTCCTTAGTTCATGTTTGTCGCGTGGTTTTGTCAATCCCTGACAGCATCTATTTTTTCTTCCATAACTTGTATGCCATCTTCAGATACCACGTGACCTAAGAATTCGACTTTCTTTTGAAATAGCTAACACTTATTTGGGTTGAGTTTCAAGTTTGCATTCCGGAAGTGGTCAAAAACTTCTTTCAGGTTATTGAGATGTTCTTGGAACGAATTTCCCATGATCATGACATAATCCAAATATACCAGGCAAGTTCTCCATGTAAGGCCTCGCAAAACAAGATGCATCAATCGCTCAAACGTAGCTGGAGCATTACACAATCCAAAAGGCATTACGTTGAACTGGTATAACCCGCTTCCGCTACAGAAGGCAGTTTTCTCTTTGTCACCTTCGTGTATTGCGACTTGCTAGTATCCACTTTTAAGATCCAAGGTGGAAAACCATTTGGAGCCCGACAGCATTGTTAATGTATCGTCTTTTCTCGGAAGAGGGAGCTGTCCTTCTTGGTGATGTCATTAAGCTTACGGTAGTCCACACAAAATCTAAGACTCCCATCTTTCTTCGTAACCAATACTACTGGCGCAGACCATGGACTTTTTGATTCTTAAATAATTCTCTCTTGAAGCATTATATCAATTTGGTTCTCCACTTCCTGTTGTTTAGCTACTGGCATACGTCGTGGTGGTTGTCTAATTGGAATTGGGTGTGCCAATCCAGTATCAATTTTCTGTTGAATTAAGCTGGTCCGTCCAGTTTGATTATCCATCACAAATACGTCTGCTTCTTTCAGGATGAAATCTATGGCTTCCTGAAGTCTATCTGGATCGAGGTGTTTCCATGATTTCCCCAAAGTCTGCAGCAAGGTGTCTGTATCCAATTTCGATTTTTCAAAATGTCGTTTATCTGGTAAGTCACAGTTCGATATTTGCTTAACTTGTTCGAGAGTTCCAATAATGTCTCCTTCTTTTATTCTTACTGTTTCGGAAGAAACATTGGCAATTCTTATCATAATGTCTCCATTTGTTCTTACTAGAGTCTTTCCAACAAGAAATCTTTCTGGTTTATCTCCAATAAAATTACGTATTAGTCCAACGCAGCACCCAGGGTTTGTTTCTAATTTTCTGCAAATGATCTTCTCAGTACTTCCAGAAATCCTCACTGGGTTTGTGGCCAGGATTTTAACGGCTTGGGATTCTTCTTGTGTTGTTAGGACAATTTCTTCATTACCAAATTTAAGGATGTTCATGGAAGAATCAAAAGAGAATCCATGTTGGCCGATCAAATCCATTCCCATAATAAAATCATCTTCTATATCGGCCACTTATGTTCTGTGCCTGAAGGTGGTAGATCCAAAAGTTAGCTCAACCATAGCTTCTCCTTGAACTGGTGCAGATTCGCCCGTGACTGTTCGTAGTGACAGGTTTCTAGTGAGCGATTGGATTGCCCGAGACTTGACTAATGTTCTTCTAATTATAGAAACTTCAGCACCCATATCAAAAGTGATGGTTTTAAATTCTCCATTGATTTGTCCTTCGAATTTTAATTCTCTATATTGACTGCCCAATGATTTTATGTAAACAACCCTGGGGGCTTTGTCATTACTAGCCAGCATCCGCCCCTCCGTACTAGTTGGTTCCTGTCTGTTATTAGGGCTGGCGTCTATGGATCTTGAAAAGTGTTGAGAACGATCCCCATATGGAGAGGACATCCTTAGTTTAAAATCCCATCGCATGTGTCCAAGCTTTTGACAGCGGTAAGATTTGACTCGGTTTCTCGGTGTTTGTCTGGAATTTTTTCCCATTTTTCTATCTTCTAGTAACAGTTTTTCCATTTTCTTCATGAAATTACTCATTACAGTCTCAAAGCTACCATCCCACTTCTGACACCAATTGTCGAGGCTCTGGGTTGCCTGACAGAAATCTTGAGTTCGTTTGGTTTATTCCAAAATCAAAGTCAACAGCAATAATTTATTCCACGTAACTATACACTTTGACACTAATTACTAACTCAACAACTAAACTCTTTACAACTCGCAACAATAATCACTATTCAAATCGTATCACAGTCAAACTTAAACTTAAAACTGCCCAGTAACACCGGCCTTATATATCCCTAAATCTATTCATGTGTAATCTAGAATAAACGCCATAATCTTATTTTCCTGATTAAAGTAGAATTTACTAGACTATAGGAATTAATTTCTAGGATTCTCGACAGGCTGGCGGATGCGTCGTAACACTACACATTTCAGTGAAGCAATTTATACCTTAACGTAGCCCTATCTCCGTAACGTAATGTACCGCAAAAGTTTGCCAACTTTCAACTTTTTACGTTGCGTTCTTGCGTTTGACCAACGAAAACTCAACAATACTCAACATAACCAAATATTTCAAAAATAATAAAATGAAAATGCTTCTTGGATATGGGTAAACCTAAGCTGGGACCATTGAGGCCTTCAGTATCAAAAAAAAAGCAACGTAAATATTGTAAATAAATCAATTAATAATCACTGATTTTTAACAATTTACGACGCGTGTCCCAAACGTTACGCAAGAAATGTATAAATTGTTATTTTTTAAATGCTTGCGTTTTGCTGCGTTACGGATACGTTACGCAATGCATAAATCCCGCTTAAGTCAGAGCTGCCACTATCAGTGAGATTAAATCATATTTTCGAATTGAATGCATTTTTTGATTTTAAAAATCTTTTTAAAACAATTTAAATGGTTCTACAATGATTTGAATCTATAAAAAGATTCAAACCTTGTCAACTAATGAAAACTCAATTTAAATTTCAAGCGCAATTTCATCAAAAACTATTTGTGGGTCATGAACTTTTAGTTTGGTTTTCAATGCTTTTTTATTTACCTATATTATATTTTTCAAGCTTTCTAGAATATATTCCTAAAATGAGTTGAATTGTAAAAAAGATTTAAATATTATTTAAATCTTTCTTTATATACGAATCAATCCTTGATTTAAATCATTTGTTCAAATGAAAAGTATATGTATCTATGATCTTTGATTTAAATCTTTTTTTAAATGATCTCAAACAGCTTTGCCTTTTTTGATGTATTATATATAAATAAAGAATTTTGAGACAGCAAATTTTGTATTCTTGCTTGCACCAATAAAAAATTTAAGGTTCCGTTTAATTTTCTTTCCCAAGCTGCCTTGAAATTTTTTCCAACTAGGTAGGTATTACCATCTTTTAAAAAAAAACCTGCATGCGCCATTTTTTTCGGGGGTTTTCATTTTCTTTTTTTTTGGAAGTCTTATATTTTTCATCTAATTGTATAGTTTTTCTCCACTTTGACGTACACTAATGTACATATTTTGAAAGAAATAAATTGTAAATACAATTTTTAAAAAACTATAAATTGTAAATATTAGGTGAAACTTTTTCTTTTTGCATCTTTAACACTTTCTTCGATATTTTCACCTCGATGATTCCTAATTTTGGGACTGGGCACTTTTACAAGAAGCATCAAAAATTATAATGTTGCGTTTTTCTTAATATTTTAGACATGTTTTCCCTAGAACAGCTTCGAGTCATGATGGGTACCCAAAATCCTTTTGCGTGTAAAACCTGTGGAAGAGCTTACAAAAGAAAAAGCTCTCTCTATAATCATATGAGATGGGAGTGTGGAAAAGAACCTCAATTCAAGTGTTCATATTGTCCATACAAAGGAAAACAAAAAATTCATTTCATCATGCACGTGATGGCCAAGCATAAGGAACACAAAGCCGATGTACTTAATAGTGCTTGCAGCAAAGATGCTAAATAAGATACAAGTTTTATAAGGCAATATTTGCTATAGTATATCTAATGTAGTGGCCTCTCGTTTAAACTGTACTTCGACGACATATTAGTTTAAATTTTCAAATAATGCCATGATTTTATACCGCTGTTTCACCTAATCACCGGCGTTCCTCATCTCACATCATAAATGTATGATTTTCCTTACCATTGCAATACTTTTTTCTCGGAGACGTTGGTAGATATTTGGATTCAAAAAGTCTTAACAGGAACGTACCATTTTCATGATCTGGTTAATGCACCTTCTTAATGCCAAATTTGAATCGTCAAATCTAGGCAACGACTTGTCGAAGGGAATTGCAGTTTAGGAAGGGTTACAAAGGCTAAACATTTTTACGATTTGTTTTTATATAAATTCTATTTTGTTTTTTATATAAATTCTATTTTGTTATTCCGTAATATAATTATGGAAGTATTAAAGTGGCTTTAACAATCGGACTTTTTAAAAAGTATTAATTACAATATTAAAAAATATTTTGACTGAATTTTTAGAGTACAAATCAAACACATTTATGTTATTTGAAACACATTCATATTCCACCCATTTATGCAATATTCATTATTATTTATATTAAATTATAAGTTGTTTTGTGGTCGTAGTAGCCATAATTTGTAGTACTAAGTCTATGAGCTTGTGGGTACCCAAGAAATTTAGGAATCGTCCGACAGAGATTAATTTCAGGATTTTTTATCCAAATTAGATAGTGAAACCGGCAGGTTTCTTATACTATGGCCGAATGCGACCGCATTTTAATATGAACATTGCGTTAGCTTTTATGAATTTTAATAGCAAATACAATTTAAATTCTCCTGTACAATAACCTATAAGACTTTATTTAGTTAAGAAATTGTTATTCATTTTATTTATATTCAGAATTTTTTATATTTTTTTTTTATGCGGAATGTATTTATTTATTTATTTATTTATTTATTTACTAGGAAGATTGGGCTGGTTACATAACGTTAATAATTTACTTTTATATTTCTTGGTGAATTGAATATCATTAGTATTAATGAATCTATTAATTAATTTATTTTAATTTTCTGGTTAGGTCCTTGGTAAATTTTTGTAATTGAAAGAAACTTTATTATTTTGAATATTTACATGATATGTTTTTATTTTATTTTTGTAATATATATATTTTTTATTGAGTCCTTTTTTTTACTGTCTAAAGACTTCTTCTGGAATGTCAAGCAAATTATTAATTTCTTTATCTGTTCTAGCTAAATGATTACCTATGTCATCAATATGAAGAAGGCTCTAAATTGACATCACCGTAGCCATGATTTTGGCATGAAAAATAACTTTTTTTACCGAGGAAGAAATTTTCATCTCCATAGTATTTATAGAGCACACATTTACAAAAGCTTCTTGAGAATAGGGCTTACTAACAATGATTGCTTAAAATGTAGTAATTTTTTTCTAGCATTACATCTAAGGCATGTAATTTTCAATAAGTTATTTGTTACGGCAAGTTTCTGTTGATTTATTTCTTGCTCGGTTCTTGCAGAGAGTGATTATTTAAATATATTAATAATTGTCATTTAAAACTTTTAGCCATGCACGAATGCAACAAATGCCTGAAAACATACAAGTCCAAGACGGCCCTGAACCGTCACCAACGCTACGATTGTGGCAAAGAAAAGCAATTTGCCTGTTCTCAACCTGGCTGTAATTATAGGGCATTCCAAAAAATTCACGTATTCAGACACGTATTGCATATTCACAATACGAAAGGATTCAGTTTGCATCCGATTTTTCAAGGACAGAATCATGAGTCCAGAATTTGAGATGTATAGATAAGTAAGTAAATTTATTTCTTGTAGGTACCTGAAAAATATTAATTATTGCGAAATTTTGGTATTCTCAAAATAATTTTTTTTGTAGGTCGCTGCAAAAATTATCCAGAAATATTATTAACCAACCTACGGATAAAAAGCATTGCTTGGTGAAGTCTCCTTGGAAGAGAAATTGTAAAAGTAAATAAAAAGTAATTGGAATCAAACTTTTTTGATTTTATTCATTCTTCGTTTATTTAAAGGATGGCGTCGATGCATTTTTTGGTAATTATTCCGTGGGTTGCCCTGAACCTTTCTCGAAAAATCGCCTCTTACAACTTCCAAAAAGTTGCACTAACTCGAGAATTCGATGTCATGCAATCATACTGCTAGTGCAATTTTTAAATTCGTTTTTGAATTAGAACTAATTTCTAGAATAATATTGGCAAAATGAACAGTTACAATATGCTGTTGTCAGAATTATCAAAATATAATTAAAAAATGCACAAAAATTGATAATTATCGCTTGAAAAAGTCCAATTTGTTTTTAAATCAATTACTGTGGAGAATTCATTCCAAAACCAAAGACACGTAACAAACTTGCAGTGACACTAAATAATAATAACCGGCGGGCGAAATTTCGACGGGAACGTAAATTTCAGTACCAGAGAATAAGACAAGGTCATGAAATTTTGACGGCAACCAGAATAAAATTGTCTATTAATTAGGCCGGTCTTACCTGGTAATCACCCTATGCCTTGTTACCCTCTTGCTGAACTTTTAAATTGTTATGATAATTTTTTCACTTGATGTCGTGCAAGCCAAACGGTCAACATCAGTTTATTTGTTGGAAGTTTCATTCAACAAAGATGTCCAATTTCCTCCACTATGGACCAACGAGATTCGACCATCACACTCGTACGGCAAACGCTTGTAAGTCATTTCATGCCAGATTTAATTGCTCTTTTTATGCCGGAACCGTCAATTTACAATTTCATAAAGAAGAACAATTTGAAACATATTGATTGATTGATTTGAAAGGAAAGCCTTTACAGGCAGCACGTAGATTGGCATGTGGCCCATTGTGTTACCCCCCTCTTGGTGTAGCCCTGTCTTCAAGGTGCAGACCCGCTCAGTTCGGCCATGCTTTATTTCATCAGGTTCCAGGAACCTGTACCCAAGGTATCGTAGTCTCATTGACCACCCAGTGCACCGCCAGGATACCTGTGATGTATTAGCTTGATGTTCTATACTCACCTAAGTACTCTGGGAGTTAGGGGCCCAATAATCCAAACTAGCAGAATCTTTTAAGACTTTATTGGTTGAATCACAGGGGCCACTTATTCTACTAGAGTCATAGATTACCTACATACAGATGCGAAAGAGCGGCGAATTCGTGGTTCAAGATTAATTTGATAGACATAGGCTGGCCGCACCAATGCCACATCAATGTATCTTGAACATATTTATTATATAAATGCGGAAGCTCAATAATATAATATTATTTCTTTAATTGGTTCACAAACAGCAAAAAAATATTTTTTTCTACCCGCAAAAATATGTAAACACACAGGCTGGAACATGCTCACGCACTCGGCCACGTTAATTGTCCTGATGCGGGCGATCTTTATCTATGCGTGGGGGTGCTGGCAGCCCGGCTTCGTCACAGAAGATCGTCGACGGCAAGTATACGTACTTACGCATCTGTATTAGGTGATCTGTGCTAGAGTATTCCTACAACCTCAGCTAACGGGTTCAACTATATTGACAACTATTAATATTAATATGACGGACATAGTCCATGACAACATTAACAACTAACTGTCTAATAACTAATTACAAACAGGTAACATTGCATGCCACATGCCACCTAGCCCCACTACATCAACAATCTAACAAACGCAAAACTTCAGCCTTGGATTGAGGATTTGGCATATCAATAATTGCCTCTATATGAATTTAACAGTTTTTTGTTTATATTGTACTTTACTTTTGTTGAACGTAATGTTATATTGTATTGCTCTCTGTAAGACTATCTTCAGGTTTTGGTCATGCTCGGCCTCCGTTGACCCTGTGACTATTAGGTCATCAAAATATAAACCAACCCCTGGAAGGTCGCCAAAAACTTCAAAATTTTTCTTTTGAAACACTTCAGGAACCGAACATATTCCAAACGCGAATCTAGTAAATCTATATCTGCCTGGGGTCCCAAATGTCATTAAATGAGAGCTTTCTTTGTCCAACTCGATTTGCCAATACCCATCTTTCATGTCAAGCACAGTGAAATATTTTTTTCCACTTAACTTCCCAGCTATTTCATCAACAGATGGAATTAAAACATGTTCACGTTTGATGGCCAGATTTAATTCTTTTAGATCTACACATAATCTTAGGTCCCCATTAGGTTTCTCTATAATTACATGTAACTGAACCAGCTCTGTTGGCTCATCGACTTTTTTGATAATTCCTTTCAGCTCAAGATCACATAATTTAACATCGTCTAAGGTTTTGAACTTTGGCTTAGCAATTGAATCTACTCTTTTTATCAAGTTTAAACTTAGGCAATCTTGTAATCCCAAAATGGAATCTGATTTTGAGAATCTACCACTACAAATGACACTTTTTTTTAATATCTTTTACTGAATAACAAAGTCGAGCCTCGCCCAAACCCTTAATTCTAAATTTGGAGTCTCCATATGAAATTAATGAGATGTTTGTCTTACAAATTTTTCCATCTGGAGCAATTTTTTCAAATAGTTCTAATGGAAAAGTGCTTACCTCAGCTCCCGTGTCAAGCTTGAACATAACTGGCTTACCATTTGTGTATCTCCTTCATCCACATTGTTTCCCGACTGTCACGATTGTTTTCATGCTGATTATTATTTTTAATATCTACTGAATTCACGTAAAACTCGTTTTCACTACTGTCGGACTCACTGCCACTTTCCTGATATTCTTCCTTCAACTTTGCCACTTCATGCACTTTTTTCTTTACTTTGTTTTCTTTTCTTCTTCTCAATGCTCCACTTTGATCATCTTTTTCCTTTTTACCGCTATTTTCCTGGAAACAAACACTTGCAAAGTGATTTCGTTCTTTTAACCTTGCACGGGTCTTTCCCCAAGCCAAACAAATACGAGCTGCATGCAAATATCCACAAAAGCGACACTTTTGTTTATTCTCTAACTAAC